ATTTTTTAAAGAGAAAAGAAAAGAAAAGCAAGAGGGACAGAAGAGGTGTACCACTGTTACTCCCCAGCAAGAGGGAAGGGTGCTATGGATATGTACACTACTAAAGGCAGTGGCCAGCTGCTAGTTCTAAAGACAGAATTAATCTTTCAAAGCAGTTTCACAAAATAAGGTGCTTTTTATAGAGTTTTCTTCTATATGCTAGACATTGTGCTAAGTACTTCATATAACCAACTTTATTTCTTACAGTAGTCATTTAAAGTAGCCCTTATATCCCTTTGTAGAAGGCACTGAGAACCAAAGAAGTTAGATAACCTTCCTAAGATCAAGTGGTGCGGCCAGATCTAGATTCCAATCTCCATGACTCCAACTCCTTTATATTCTGCTCTGTGCAGAATTTCAGAGAATATGTCTCCAAAGAATTTAATTCTCCTACCCTGCCATGAGCTTGTACTGGGAAGAGGATTTATACATATCATACATATCAATGTATGAATATGCAATTCACCTCCAAGTAACAGTTATTCAAAAGAGAAAGATGAACCTCAACAAGGTCATTGAAATAAATGATCATTTCTTCCCAAGAAAGTTATAAATCTGTAGTAATTTTATAAAGCCATAGCAATACCTTCTTGCAAAACCAACCTTGGAAGGTAAACAGCACAAGTAAAATTACCCAGTGTCTTCAAATTATCTGTTGAGAATCTGATAAATTGTTTGAGACACCCACTAGGAACAGGCTCACTGGCAGCCTCTCTGCATTTAGTCCTTTAATTTTGGCACACTGCTGGGGGATGCCCCGGTAGGCAGAGTGAAAGAGTACCAGAGGCCTTTCCAATATTCCTACAATCTTCCAACCTAATGAGCCTTGAGAGAAATCCTGAAAGATCCACAGGGGTACTCCAAGATGGACCCCTCTCACTCCCCAAAAGATTGTGTTCATGCCAGGGCTTGAGAGGACAGCCGGATGCCCCTGGCAGGGAGACTGATACCACCATAGATTCAGTTTTCCACTCCTGCCGAAATGCTGGAAAACTTATGTGAGAGGAACTCTTGTCCTTATTTAGTACAGAGGCCAAGCATTTCTCCTTAACTTCTTTTAGACCAGCAGTTCCCACAGGACTCCTGGGAATCTAATGAAATTTACACTAAAGAGGAAATGATTGTTGTAAAAGAATCTATATTCCATTCAGACATGATTTGAGTAATGATGGTGGGGGTTAGGGGGAGTAAATCTTGAATTTGTAGTGAGAGTAAGTTAGGGGCAGGGATTCTGTAGCCTTTCCGTTAAGACAAAGAACTAGTATTAAGACAAGTACAGTCCAACTCCCTACCCTGTGTTCCCCTGTCAGGAATCCATTCTTTTTTATTATTCCATATGCATAGCTTGAGGTTATATTGGAATGTATAAATCTCTCATGAGCCACAAAACATTAAGCTGCCGTTGTCCTCATAATTTCATTATCTCAGTTTCTGCCCTAAAACGTTTAACACTAATTGAACACCCGAGGTTTTCCTGTGAAGTTTATTTTCTGAACATTATTGAAGTGCTGTTGATAAAAGCCAGAATTTATAGAGTCAGCACTCCTTAAAATGCCAGATGGATTTGAGCAGGAATATATATATTTTTTAAAGCAGGAATATTTTTATGACTTTGCCTGGAATTTCAAAGTCTTTCAATCATTCTACATTATAAAGCTGTCTATCTTAAAGTGTACTTCGCAAGAACTGAATTACTTTGCTGAAACCAACCTGCCCATCTGCAGATTCAGGCTGGACATCCTTGTCTATCAGATTCATCTCATATTTCAGGTTGGCTCCTGATGTTTATTTTTTTCTGATTAAAAATACTTGATTACTTTCTGCTCACCCTCATGCCCCGCACTCTCACTCAGGGGTTCTAGAACCCTGTACATTAGACAGTCCTTTCGCTGATTTTATTCTATTCTTTTTTTCTATTTTTTTTTTTTTTGGAGAAATGCATTTTCGTGACAGAGAGCTATCTAGCTTCCTTTAGTACTTTAAGGGAAAGAACCAGTTCTTGTAGGCTTCAAAAAAAATCATAATAAAAAGAAGCCATGTGTTAAATCTATCTCTTGGATATTGTTTGCAATTCAATTAATTTCACATGTCTCTGTCAGAAAGTAATTTAGTTCAAAACTGAGCGATGATTGGTGTCTTTTATGGATGTGTATTAAAATTTATGCATATGTATGCATCCACAGATTACACACATTCACAAACACATGCAAAGTTTCATGTTGTGCCACTCAGAAGTGGAGTCTTTGCAAAGCACATGACTGGATCTTGACTTCCAAAAATGAAGCAAAATTTAGTCAATTGTCCATCTCCCTCTTAGAAGTTAAGTTGCTTCTGGTTAGTATGGTAACTGCCAACAGGCTGGCTTTTTTCTGTCATTATTATAATTGGAAAAGCAAATAATCTGCCTTAATTTATAAAGCATGAAGAGGATTGTGCAGTTTGGGGACCCAAACTGGCTAGGAAGAAAGCACAAGAGACATTTACCATATTTGGGCTTAGGAATTCTCTTTCCTCAAAGGAAAAATGGTTTCTGAAGTGTTGAGCAAGGGTAAGTTTATCCTGATTCAGGAACAATAATGACAGGAAAGAAGACTAATATTACACTTCGATCTTAGGTCTTAAAATAAGTTGGAAAATATTCAAAACTGCTTTCACAAGGTGAAACATGACTAAATGCCCTTGATTCTTTTAGTATTCTAGAGATGTGGTCTCCATCTCATTGTACATATTCAGTCTCTGCCCTCTATTACCATTTACTACCATCATCTATAAGGAATAGTTTATTTTACTCAGAAAGGACTTCTCTCTGAATGAACTCTCCTTATACTTACCTTTTTTTTCTTCTCTACAATCTTTCTATTTGCACAGAAAGAAGGCTGAAAATAAATAGCTCAAAATGTTAACTATAGGCAATAACAAGTAAATGTAAGTTTATACTTTATGTAAAAGTTGAATTCTGTATAATAAATGTGTATGTCTTTCATAATCTGAAAAATTAGAGATAATTTTTAAAATACTTTAAGTCCCCCAAGCGTTTAAGAGAAATAAAATAAACTCTGCATAACTGAAACATAATCAAAACACTACTTATCAAAATTTATATTCTATAGCTGAAAAGGTTCTTAAAGGAATATTTCTTACTTTAATCTTTTTATCAGAAAATAAAAAGAAATTAATGAGCTAAAGAGCCATTTTTTAAGGACGAGTTATTGGTGAAGACAATTCATATTTGAAAAGAATTTCTTTATAAGATTTCTCTTCTGGTATTCCCTGTGCACAGTGAGTGACTTGCTGAATGTTAATGCTTTTCTATGGTGGTATTCTCATATGTGTCCTGTGGATAAAGGACAAATTAGGTTTTCCTACATTTTTCATATTTACTCTAAGATTCATGTTACCTAACATTTAATAAAAAACTTGTGAATGGACTCAAGTTCTTACATTCACATGGTTTATCTACAGTGTGATTTCTCACATGTACAATAAGATGTAAACAGCAAAGATATTTCCATACGTGTTTTCTCTAGCATGAGTTCTCATATGTCTTAAAGTGTGGAAGATTAATGATATCTTGGCCATATTCCTTAGATTTTGATAGTTCATCAGTAATGCAAGTTCTTGTATGTAGAGTAAATTTTAAAATTCATTTTTTATATTCATAAGGCTTCTTACAATATAGTGTCCTTTAATGCTGGATGAGGGCTCAGAAATATTAGTTATCTGTTGCCACTTAACAAGTGACCACAAGCTTATTGGCTAAAATGACAAATTTATCTTCCCTCAGTTTTGTTAGGTCTGGATTCTAGGGGTGGCCTACTGGGTCCTGTGACTCAAGGTTTGTCACAGGCTACATTCCAGAGCACACAGGGCTAGGGTCTTATGTGCTAGCTGAACAGAAGAAGGATCCCCCTATGAGCTCAAGTGGATGTTGGCAGGACTCTCCTGCTGGAAGGATGTTGGGCTGAGGAGCTTAGTTGTACTTACCACCTTGGTGGTTTTTGGCTAAGGCAGCCTTCCATTCATTGCCAATTGGGCCTCTTCGATGTATAAGTTTGCTTTGCCAAAGCTAGCAAAGGAGTCTGCTAGCAAGACGAAAGGCATACTACTGTGTAGCCAAGTCACAGAAGTATCTGCCCATCATCTTTGCCATACTCTATTGGTTAGAAGCAAGTTGCTAGGCCAGCCCAGACTCAAAGGAGTGAATTACACAAAGTTGTCAATACCTGGAAATGAAGGCTTTGGGAGACATCATAGAGTCTGCCTGCCACTTACAAAGACTGACTAATGACTACCCGACATTCTTTATTTACATGTACATCGAATTTGTCTAGTGTGACCTCTGACACATGCCTGATGGCTGAGGGACAAAAGAAGACTTTCCAACATTCTTTGTATTTATAGCATTTCTCTCCATTGTGACTACTTTCAGAAATCCTTGAACATGAGGAAGAATCCCACACTCTCCCACATCTTGTACACTAACAGAATTTGTGTTCAAGTGGAATCTGGCATGATTCCTAAGGGATGAATGCTCCATACAGACTTTTCCAAATATGGCTCCAGAGGAGTATTCTCCAGTAGAGGATCTTTGCAGTGCAGTAAGATTTGGAAAATAACTGACAGGCTTTTTTTATATTGATCACATTCATTACTTTTATCAGAGGCTCTCCAACTTATGACTTTTCTCTAATGTCTCCCCTTGTTTTGTGTTGAACTTTAATTACAGGATATTCCCAGTTTTCTCCTAAAAAAACAGAAAGAAGTGGTTCCTTAATATTCTTTTTATTTTCTGGAATATTTTCTCTGTGGACATCCTGCCGAGAAACTGACTCATGGCTTTTAAATTGAATTTCACAATTTACTGAGGCTGAGTTCCTATAGTAGTTTTCCATCATCACATCTCTATAAGGGCTCCTTTGATCAGGTGCCAGAAAATCCTACTCCTTCTAAGTAAATTTCACAGCCACAGCTTCAAAGGCCATTAACTCCATTTCCTGGATCAAGATTCTGAGGCTTTCTTTGGGCATCAGCCATACCGTCCAAGAGGGAAGAGGGAAAAAGGTGGAACTGCAGCCACATGGAGCAATCTGGAATCAAATGGGAGAAGTTTGTGCCATGCAGGCTGGTGGAACAACTGGGATTTTACTTTACAATGGTATGTTTGTACTCATTTTAAAAAGTTGAACTGAATCTTGGCTGATTGTTTATTTTTAAATTCATTTCTTTTCAGCCCTATTCACTTGCTCTAGCAATATGTGTCTTCACTCTTATCATTCTTGGGAACTATAGAAAGCTGTTACAGTTGAAAATTTCGGCTAAGACATTCCATTCTCTTTGGATGGGAATCATTCACCAAATATATGATCTGTGTTAGAGATGAAATACAATGATGAACAGTAGGCAGACCATATGTGCCAAGATATCTCTGAGCCATAGCCTCTGCAGATATCAGTCCAGGTAGCTGACCATTAATCTTTCCAGCAACTGACCCTGAACTAGCTAGTGACTGCCAGTTTTCCCAATTTTTTCCTTCTCTTCTAACTCAAGGTCAACCAGAGAAAACCAAGCATGGTCCACAAACCAAATCAGATAAGGTGGCTCACTTCTAGTTTGCTAGGATCCAGCATTCCTAACCAGTGACCTGCAATCAGAGCATACTGCAGGGGCAAAGAAATATCTTTTCTTCCCCTTGCTAGGGTTATGGCTGAGACACTTCTAACACAAGACAGATTAACAAGAGAGAAGCATACGTATTCATGTAATATAAGTTTTATGTGACATGGAGGACTTCACGAGGAAAGAAAGACTCCAAGAAACAGGTAAATGTATATTTTTATGCTTGGGTTTGATGAAGAGATTGATAGTCATAGAGAAGTAAGATTGGACACGGGATATTATCCAATGAGAATAAACAGGGTTAGGAGCACAGGGAGGACTCAGCAAGGCCTGTTTGTACAGGCACTGCTCTGCATCCTTGTGTCTTCAGAGATAAATACGTTCCTCTCCTTGAGGTCGCAGGAGGGCACCTGTTGAACAAGTGTGATAGGACCTGCTGGGGGAGTGGGTGGTGCAAGAGTAAGCTAAGAGCGGCCATCTTGCTTTTGCTGTTTTCTCAAGTGCCTGCCATATTTTGGGGTTCATACTTTGGAGCTTTCCCAAAGCTCTTCCATTCTCCTGCCTTCTGCCTTTGAGTCTGTTCCAAAATGCAAGAGGTGGTGGCTAACAAGGATGGTGACATGAGTACACAGACCAATGTCACCATCCCACTACATTCATATTAGAGAAGGAAGAAAACTCTTATTAGAATCAGGAAAAGCTCTTTCTCACTGTTTGTTCTTCTCCCATAATATCTCTACTGAGTATAATTCACATGTCATCCATTCACCCATTCAATTTTTTTTGTATATTCAGAACTGTGCGACTATGCCTGCATTGTTGTTTTTTGTTTGTTTTGTTTTGTTGTTAGGTTTCAGCAATTATAAAGTTTCATCTTTTATGATATGGAGTGGTTAGTATATACAGAGGTACCTTGGTTCACAAACTTGATTCTTTCCATGATGCTGGTCACAAGCTAAATTGGACAAGAACTAAATCAAATTTGCCCATAAAGTCAACATTCAACCTAACCATTGAATTCAATTCGGTTCTCATCCAATTCAGTTTGTGACCAGAATCATGGAAATAATGAAGTTGTTGAATGAAGGTACCACTGTCATAGGTGCAGTGCTTCACGCTTCACATGTATTAACCCATGGAATCCTTATGAAACCCCTATGGGGCAGGAACTATTTTATCAACTCCATTTTATAGGTAAAAACATAGAAGAACAAAGAGGAGTCATGTGTCTGGGGAGCTTGGAACCAAAACATGAACCACAGCAATCTTCTTCAGTCCTTTGCTTTACTACTACCCTACATGTCTCAGGTCACTTGAATTCTGCTACTTTTTAAAAAAAATTAGTTGAATAGACTTCCTGGGCCTCGGAGGAAACCTTTAGAAACCCTTCTTTCCTAGTATCCCATACCCTCAATTCTAAAGGTAGCTTCTTCACTCTCCTTAGTCACCTGTGCCCTGTGGAGTTTGTGGCATTTCCATGAACGATGTCAGTTTCTCTTATTGGTTACAACTGGAATAAACTCTATCTTCTCATCTTTGTGTCTCTAAATAAAGCTTTTCTGCCATTTGACTGCTCATTTCCTGCTCTTTCTCTCTCATGCCATTTTCTCTCTTTCTCCCCCACTCCTTTCTCTACTTAGACACAAAATTACTTTAATGAAGAGGCTTCTTATTCACACAGTATCTTCGTGATTATTTTCATTAAGATGACTACCAAACAGCTTTTGCTTTGAGATGTTTGAGGTTTAACCTAAATGATTTTTAAATCAACCCTGACTGCAGCTGTAAACAACGAAGAGTTATATGTTTATGGTTCTGTTAACATTTTTCAAACATGTTTACCTCTGTCCCTAAAACATTCATCATTCATTTGGATATTTGCAAATAGTTCCTTTTTTCATGCTATTTACAGCTGACGCTTCCCTTTATTCTATGTAACCATCTAAAAAAGAAAAGACTTACGTGATGAGGTGGGTGAGGCTGCTGTCCTAAAACACTGTCAGTGAGAGCATCAATTTCTCCAACTGGAGCATTACTTCAACAGCAGAACTTTTGGGTGGAATTTAAATTTTGCCAGCAAATTAAGATTTTACTTTGTGCTGAGCTTGGCGTGAGGAGGACCTTGGAAGTGGTAGCTTGCCAGGCGCCCTTGCATGGAGCCCTGCTGAGCGCTGATTGGCATCTCTGTCTTGTTTGCTAGGATGCAGACAGATGCCCTGCTTACTAACTTCACAGGAGGGGTTACAGGCTGTTTCTCAGTGACTGACTGTCACTTAGGCTTAGAAGCCTTCCTTTTATGACTCAGATGAGTTTAGCTGCCAAACTAGCTGCTGAAATTGGCCTTTTGCACTATGAAATTTGTTCAAACACCAGTTAATATTCTCCCAGGTCCCCTGCATGCTCTGGACAAATCATAGAAGAACAGCCGTGTTCTACAGACACAGGAGTCAGGGAGTGACTGAAAATGTTCCTTCTGGGGTCCCCTCAGTCAGTATGCAAGAAAAGAAAACCTGTCACCCCCCTTCACATGATCCTGATGCACTAATCTTGCTGACAGAGAGCTTTGGTTTTGAGGAGGGCTGTGTAGGCAGTTAATTATACCCAGAGTTAATTGAGTGGTCAGATTAACAGTCTGGTCTCATGAGGTCTAAAACAGGATTCCAGAAATTTAGATATATAAGACCCTCCAAACGATGTCAAATGAGACATCATGTTCTTTTTGACCTTCCCTTTCAATTTGGGATGATGATTTCATTAATCAGGTTCCTTCCCCCCCGTCATTCTAAATGACAGATGCTAATTAAAATAGCAAATGGGATCCTCACAGGCAGTTTCTTCTGTGTTTCTTTGGTGACCATTCTGTTCTTGACTGATTTAGCACGGCTCTTTCCCCTCAATTAACAGACAAGTTAAACTTTATATTCCCTTAAATTTTTATTACTTATAATTAGGAAGTAAAAAAATCATTTTGCATTTTACAACTTTCAAATGTAGAAGTAAATTGAATACTCAAATAATATGGGACTAATTGCCTAGCTTGAGGTAAATCAGAGTCAGGTAGCATCCAGAATCATCTTCATGCCCAGAGTCTGCTGGACCCTTGACCCCACCATCTCAGTCCAAGCCCATTTGCACAGTTGGGAAAAATTTTAATGAACTTAATTTTTATTTTTATTATTTCTTAATTTTAGCATGACTCAATTTTTAAATTGTCTCAATAGTAAATTGTAAGATTCTAAACATAAAAACACTTAGCAACAATAAAAAATTTAGCTTTCATGTTAGGCCAAGGTGCTGCATTAATTCCTTACATGCATGGCATGGACATAAAGGAATCCACATTAGCCTAAGCTCTATAATCCTGCGTGGCACACTGTACCCAGTGTGCAAAGTAGGATGCATACTTAATGACTATTACTCAAATGGATACTCAACTAGGTCACCCCTCTGTATCACATACCCAGCCCTTGATGTCTGGTGCTCTTCCATCTGTCTTCAACATCCAGCTATATTTAAAAAGAGTAACTGAAGCATGGAGGATTGAGTTGTAGGCATCATGTGTTTTTTCTTACAAGTGTTGCCTTAGAAGAAAAAGTGAGTATTAAATCTGGGTTACACTTTACTCTAAAACAAGAAAAAGGAAATCAGCCATGAATAAAAGAATTTACATTAAAAAGAAATATGTTCGGTAATTGCCAGTAATGGTATTGATTTTTTCAACACAAATTTTCATTAAAATGGGATTTTTTAAATTCTTGTGCAATCCCTGTTTTTCTCCCTCTGAGCAGAAAATATTGGATTTGAACAGTTTACATTTTGACTCTGAAACATAACCTTACTCTTTGTCTCAAGTGAGACAAAATTATCTGGGTGGAATTGCACATTTTAGAAGGAAAAAAGAACAGGACACTGGTGAGAAAAGTGGGATTTCTGAGTCTTCATTCTTCCTGGGGAAAGGCCTTGTCATTAACTAGCAACACTAATTTCCACATTATGTTAGGAAGAAGTAAAACCCCAGCTCAGTCTCCTGCAGTTGTAATGTCCTGGGAACTTGCATTCGCCTGGAGCTAATGGGGGTTCACACTCTTGGGTAACACAAATGCGTTCCTGAGAACCTGACAGCCACATCCCTGCCTCTGGAGGCAGGAGGGCGGGTTATCTTGAAAATTACCCCTGACTCAAAGATGCTCTGGGAGTCCACTCTCTCCTCACTTAATCATAGATGCACTGGAGGGGCCTGACCCCTGGGATCCCTCTGAAACCAGAGAAGTTTCGATGAGCATTTGTATGATGACTGGGAGGAAATAAAAACCTGCAAATATTTATGAATAAATGATAACAAGTCTTCTTTTTCTGCTATGGAGTCTCATAATAAAACTAGCGAGACTGATCTTATGGAATGACAACTCCTTTCAGGTTGCCTGGGAGTGAGCTGTTGCCCAGGAAAAGAATTTTCAGTACCAAAATGATAGTCTTGGGCAAACTGGGACAGTTGTTTACCCTGTGTTTGACAAGAACTGTCCAGTTGTGATTATGTGTGACTTGTCCCCCCTCAAGTTAGTATTACTTAGACAAAACCTAACTTTCTGATGTAGAAAATGAGGCTATGCTAAAATTCTAGATTTAGTGTTTGGGGACAGGGGTTGGGAAGACTAGGCCCCAGGTGGTGGGGGGAGTATTGGCCAAAAGTCTTTCTGGAGAAGAGGTAGTGTTCAGTCTATAAGTCAATGAATCAATCAATAAACAAATACTATAAATAGTCTTATTAAAATAGTCATTTTATAATCTTCCCTAGTCCCCAAGCCACTCTTCTTATACCAAGAAAAGTAGTAGGCTGCTTACGTCTTCTTTCTATTAGTGTCAGTCCTCCTTTTGTCCCTGTAAGCATAGATTTAATGTCCATTTCAACTTAGTTTCATGTACAAAGGTGGGGGTACACTACAGGGGTAGTTCTAGGGCTTTTACCTCCATGTCCTCCCCAATGTGCAGTCACCTGATATTCACCAGGAAACAGTTTGGCAGGAAGGTAAATTCAAAGTTCTTGGGCTAATATTTCTTTCTCTTTGTTATTCTTCATTATACAATGACTTAACACACTGTCATCTTGCATTCCACATCTAATACGTAGGACAATAAAGACATCTTTGTTGTGCAGGAGCTAGTAGAAGCCAGAGTCCACCCCGAATCTTTCCTGGGATCCTGGGATCTAGGTGCTACATGCCACAGGAACATTAAAACTCAGAAAAGTAATACAACAGGAAGGCATGGAGATTGAATTTATGCCTATGAATCTCCCTAATTTGTATCATGTAAGTTATGGTGGTGGGAGGGACCTAAAACTAGGAGTGGATTGTGAAGTACTGCAATGGGATTGTAATGTCAGTGAGTCTTGTTCTACCTGTACTCTTTGGAAGCAGGCTGGAGGCATGTGGAGCTGGCTTCCATGATGGCAGATTATAAAACTTTTTCCCTGTCTATGTTGGTGCTACATTAGTATCTTTTTGCTATTCCTGCTTACAGTCTACAACCACTGAAATCAGAGTATTTGAACAACCTAAAGCTTTCATTTAAAGACATAGAACTTATGTGGCTACAAATGTGCTGCAGCACAGTGATCCAGGTGCCTCAGTTTTCAAGTCTGGCACTGTAATTCACTTCTAGAAGTGTGACCTTAGGCAACTTGCTCCATTTCTCTATGCTTCAGTTTCCTCATATGCAAGACAAGAATAATTACAGTAACTCTATAGTATAGGACTTTTGAGAGACTCAGTAAGAGAACTCATGTGCGGTGTACTCAGTGCTCTGTCCTTCATTATGACCCCTTGTGCTTACAAACCATGAGGAACTGTCAATTCTAGCCCAGGAGACTCCCATATTCAGGATCTAGGTCTTAACTCTAGGAAGCATTTTTAAAAATGTCAAATCCTAGGTCCTGGGTCCTATTTCAGACCAGTTAAATTGCAATGGCCAGAGAGTGAGGCTCTTGATATAGATTTTTAAGCTCTACAGGTGATTCTGAAGAGCAATTAATATTAAGAACCACTGATTAGTGGACTCTATTCTTTGTGACTGAAAATCTAATAGCAACTGCTGGGTGACTGCTAACCATTGGGTTATATCCATGGGTAATTCTGCTAAGGCTGTCAATAGAGTTTGGGTACAATCCTTTGAAATTGATCCTCCCTTGCACTGGTAAATTTTGAGTGAGAACAACACATAATGGAGCAGCAAGGCTCCCTAGAGTTGAGAGAAGAAGGTGGTTGCAATAAGAGGTAATTCTCGGCTCCTTCTCAAGGGCTTCTCAAGGTTCCCCTATTTGTTTAAAACAATAAGAAAAATTAGGAAGCAAGAGTTTGAGATTTAGGAGAAAGCACCCAATCTGTGGCTTGTTGTCCCATTAACAAAAAAGAGGAACCAACCTGAAAATCAGACTAAATCAGACTCGGGAAATGACACGAACTCATCATATCCAGCTGTGAAAATAATAGCACAGATTTCTGCTTCATGGCCTCCAAATCAAGAGTTGGTTCTGAGTCGCTTATAACTTAGAGGGCAGTCTCTAACGAGCTATCAGCTGGCTTTTGGGGGGCTGCTTTAGCTTCTTGAGATTGATGATGGACATTCAGATTTTCAATAAGCTATCACCTGTATATTAAAGCAGCAGGAGTAATTTGTCGTTCTCTGAGCTTCTGTTTCCCTGGCTTTAAAATAGGAATCATAATACCCCATACTTTTCTCAAAGGGAATTTGTGATGATAAACACAAATAATGGTCCGCATAAAACCCTGTTTGAGCTCCTAGAAAGAAAAGGACATAACTTAAATCAAGGTAATATTATTTTCCTGGAGAAGATGCTGGAACAAGTTAATATTTTTATTCTTATGAAAGTACTGTCTTTCTGGGCAAAGCACAGACCTTCCCCAGGAGAGATACCTCTCAAGAATTATCCAGTAAATCCCAACATTCCATTCCTTCTAGTGAGCCACACGTGGAAACTTGCTGCCAAGACCACAAAGCACCCAACAGTAGTACAGTGGTTAAAAAGAGTTTATGTTAACCTGGAAATGAGTTCCAATTGATACCCTGGCATGTTTAATAATGTTTCCAGTCTCTTTCACCCTTATGAATGTCTCATTGAGGTGTGCAAAGTGTGGATCTCTCACATTTGTGTTTGCTATTGTGTTTCAGACTACTGCCACTTTTCCACTAGGCTATTTTAACACCCCTATGTGGTTTTGGATTATGGGAAATGATATTGGCTCTAGATTCTTCAGCTGAATCTTAAATACTTCTTTATCTTCCATAATGGACTATACCAGTATTATTATACAGTAACTATTTTTTGCAACACCTTTCATATGTCTCCAAAATTTGCTTTCTTTTAAATGCTTAAGCTCACCATTTCTTTTTAACTAACTATTCTTTCCATACTCTTATTAGCATTTCAATCCTGATAATATATTACAGCTCTGAGGCACATCAGATCTTTTTTACAGCCTGTCTCCCAAAATATTCTCAAGAATTAAAACAGAAGAATAAAGAACGCACTCTAACAATGTGTTGAAAATTCTACTCTGAAAAATGTAGATGTGTAGTATGGCTAAATCTAGAGGGAAAGAAGAGGTAGAAGTGTGGCAGAAAGCATAAAATATGAATGTTTTAAGGAAATGAAACGTGAAGGGGGTAGGAAAGAGTTATTTGTATGCCTAAGGATTATACAATAACTAATAATTAGTGGACACAATGCTAATTTTGGTGGATGGCTAAGACAATTATAATATCATTGCGATCTTTGTTGTATATCTACTTTTGGGGGAGTATTTGACCAGCAGATTTTAAATTTACCAATGAATATCTAAATTACTGTTAATTCCAATAACACTTCTTGCTTTTTCCTCTTCAGTTTCCTAGAGCAATTAACCAGTATCTGCTAAATATAATACATGCTCCTCGAGAAGAATAGAAATCTGTGTTCAATATCCATTAATCCTATGGGAATGGTATCTCGACTTCCTTTTGAAGAGCTGCTTCCTCCCGAAAAGCCTATATTGGCTGGATAAATATAGAAAGAAGTCAATCAAAGCACTGCACACTCAAGAGTGGTAGCCATAAAGATAGTAGGACATTCTGCATCTTGCCCGTGGAATATACTGTATCAATAACAGCCTCCATGCACCCAGAATCCTTCCTTTAAAACAGAATCAACATATCAGAGCTGATAGGAATAAAAGAGAAACTGCAACCTGGTGACACCATTTGAATTCTAGTTGAGCAATGCCCTGAACTTTAGTTATATGAATTACTAAATTGAGTTGTTGGTCAAGCCCATTTGTGTTGGGTTTTTGATTACTTACTAGTGACTAAAAGAATCTATGAAACATAGACAAAATCTAGTTTGTTTACTTCATTTCCCCAGAGCCTAACTTGGTAATAGGTGCTCAATAAATATATGTGAAAATGTATTAATTTTAAAAACATCCCAACCAACAATATTGTTCTATCTCCACTCAACATTTTCTCTGTCCTTCCTCAGCAAGTATAGAAGAGCCTACATCAAGATATCAAGGCAATCAAGCCTACATCTTGACAATGAAAAATGCATTTCCTCTTATAAGATCAAGAGCTCTCAGTTTCTGCTTAACTAAGATACCACTCTGAGCAATAGAAAAATTGTTACATTCCTTCACTTCTACTTTGAATTTGCCAATTATCAAATGTTACCCTAGTTTTCAACACCAGGAGAAATGTTCCCCTCCTGCTCATGCTTTCCACCACCATATCCCCAAATGAATTTCCATTCATTCAGAAATTGTTGCTCTGCCCTTGAACTTAGAGGTTATTGAGATTTTGTTATTGAGATTTATTGAGAAATGTTTTTGACCTGGATTTCTCTGGTAGCAAACTGTCAAATGAACCCAAAAAAGCACTTTTTGTAAGAGAACACTGTGAGTAGGATTGGAAATTAACAGAGAATCAAAAGCCTTAGAATTTATTTTTTACTTTGCCAGTGATTTCCAGCACAACTTGGGAAAGCCATTATTTCATTTGGTTTTGCTTTTTCCCTGCTTCTTTGAAAAACAGAGCTAGAAATAGCTCAGAATAGAACAGTCACATTGTTTTAGAAGTAGAAGGACACTAGTTGAAGAAAGATTTAAATATTAAAATCTTTAATTTGTAAATATGAAAGTAGATAAGTTGAACACTGATGTGTTCATTAAATCTCGGGGTATTAAGAGACACAGACTGAATTTCCAGGGAACACATTTAGATATAACAAAAGAAAATTATACTTTCTATAGAAAGAGTAAAGTCATTTTTTAAAAATCCATGAATAAGAGATCCATAACTGGATTAAGAGGAACTACGGTGATTTGTAGTATGTTCCACAGAGAGAGAGAAAGCTGGACTTGATTAATCTAGGTCTGACCCATAAAAATTCTTATATTTATGTTCTTTATCTGACTATAAATTAAATCCAAAAGTTCTTAGAAGGATTTTGTTGCTGAGGGCCTGAGAATGCTCAGGACAAGGAAAATAGAAATAGAAATTATTTTATTTCAATGTACAGGTTCCTATAAATACAGTCTCCTAGAAATGGAGCCCTTATCCCTGACCAATTTTCCTGTATAGTCTGGTTCATAGTAGAACTAAAGCACAGACCACAGAGTTGGATGCCCTGAAATTTAACCCCCAGTCTTCTAATAACTAGCTGTGTAATCTTTGAACCCTAGGCTACAGAATCTTCATTTGTTAAAAAAAAAAAAAAAAGAAGTTTGGATCTAACTGTAATTTAAAACCCCTTAAGCCTAGCAAGAAAACCCCACAAGACAGACATTAGAATTTTCTTTATTCGAAGAATGTGGAGAATAGGAGAATTTTTAGGCATCTTTAAATCCAAAGCAGTTTGCGCATAGTAAAGAACAATGCACAAAGGATCACTGTGTGTGGAATAAATAGAAGAATGCACAGACTACCTGGAAAAATAACTAAGTCTAAATGCTCTACCATGCAGTTTCCTACTTATGTTTCACCCTCTCTCCAAGAAGCTGAGTGCTGCAAAGATCAGGAACATGAGGGTTAACTTCACCCCTTTGTGACTAACAGTGCTGCAGGCTATGACAAGTAATCTTTCATTGCTTGACTAGATAACAATGGGAATAAAACATTCCCTATTTTTTTATCAAATACAATATTTGCCATTTGTTGTTAGGGAACATGATGAAGTTAAACTACCAATCTTACCCTCTATGTTCCTCTCTCATTCACAACTTACTCAAACAAAATTTTGGCTGATACTTTAGAATCTCTTAAAAAACACTCAATGTTGAAAATGTTTGCTTTATTCTGTCCAATATCCAACTTTCAAATTAAAAAAAAAAAAGTGAACAGGAAAGAGGCTTTTTCTTGATTGCAAACTCATCAGGGAGGTTGTGAATTTTTTGCAGATAAATTGCTTAAGGTACATTGACTTTGTAATTTGTGTGTGGCTAATTGGATTGCCTGATTAAAGGACATAGCCATTGTTTCAAGGTAGCAATTGCTAGGCTGGAGTGCCCTGGTGGCTGAAAAGGCCTCTGGTGTGTAATTCTACACCTCTGAACTGATGCGATTAGTGGTGTCTACAGCCAAAAGAAAACCAAGAAACTTCTTACAGTGGCCTGTCCTGGTAAGGAATGCAGTCTTCCCGCAGTCTCAGGGATTCTTATGAATTCTACAGAGCCTCTATCTTAAGACTTATACATGACTTAAGATCAGAACTCCAGATGTATGGATGCCATATTGTACCAGCATTGGTCCTCATTAACATTGAACTCCAAATGAGCTACATACCTAACCACTAGGAGTCACAATCATTATACTCTCGTCTATCTTTGTCAAGCCACCCTTTATTAAAATTAGCAATGTTAACTATGTTAAAGCAATAGAACTAAAAGGTCTGTTTCACATAAACCTTTACCATGAATGTTTTGATAATGTGAAATGTCATGTGATCCGAGATCTGGTTTAACTCTGCACTTAGGTAAGAAGGTAGCTATATACCTACATGAGAGCTCAGTACATTCAGTTTTGAACTTATTCCATTTTTTTTAACCTTAATTTCTGGGGTCTCCAAATAAAAGTCAAGGGAATACAAAATATTACCTAAAGCAAAGCTAAAATTGCATGTTTTAAATTTTTATGTCAGGAAATGCAAAATTAATACTCTCCTTGTGATATTGCTCATTAATATCATACTTAGACTAAGCTATAGTTTTAATGACCTAATTCAAAAGAGTGGAAAATTTTATTTTACTTAATTTAAATCATTTAGATGTATGAGGTCTTTTATTTCCACTGGCATTTTTTTCACATTAAGTGTAACAGGGAAGAAGCCTATTTCAAACTCTCTTATAGAACATAAACTCTTGATGGACTGAAACGAAGTTGAGCCTCTGAATACTTATGACATAATGAACTGGATGGATTGGAAGAGAAGGCCATCTGAAAATCCACAGATACAGACACCCAAGGGGCATATCCACATGCTCAGGTCAGAGAAAATGAACAAAGTGACTCAGAGATATAGCTTCTCAGTGTAACTTAACCATTCAGAACCACAGAGAAATGGACCACAGCTTGTAAGGGCTTCAGGACTTTACGAGTTGGAGGTAGTGACAAGCCACTGAAAGCATCAAGCCAACTTCTAAGCGTAAGACAGTCCATTTGACTCTGCACAGCAGGACTGTGTCTTATGGAGACTTGCTTTCTAGCCCAGCCACCACCTGTCCTAAGGTTCTCATCCATGATTTAAGAGTATTGGGGTGGAAAAACTCTATAGTCCCTACCATCTCTGATGTTCTAGTCCATGTGGATGTAGCTCCAGGGAAATTGAGTTTCAATCAGTTAAAGGAAAGTATTAAAAACAGTCACTCATTTATTAAATATCTCCTGTATTAAGTTACTGATACATCCAGCTGCCCACTCAACAATTCTACTTATGTATCAGAGTTAACATGCCCCAAACAAGTAACAGGACTATTCACAGCATTTTTATTTATTGTAGTGGATACATGGAATAAAAGCAAGCACTCAAATATCTCCCAAAACAAGATGCACTGTTCTTAATATTCCTTATGTATACTATTGTCTTCTGTTTCACTTAATTCATCCCCAATAAAACAAGCATAAAGAAATAAAAATGCACAGAACTTTAAGATAATCCAAGAGAAACATGTCAGTATCAGCAGTTTCCTAAGAAAATCCTTTGCTTCTTTATTCCACTCAATGCCAAAGTACTAAATGGAGCCAGGTTCCAAAAGTAAGAGAAGTACTTTCATTTTTCTGTACAATTTTACTTTCAGCATACAGCCATTACTAGATCATCCTACTCACTTTTAGAAAGTAAACCCCCTCAACAGTAATCAGCAATGGGAAGGGAGAAAACTGAGACCAAGTGGGCTACAGGAAAGTTTAACATAGGACTGACCTGTAAGAAATGTGCCCATAAACACAGAAAATCACACAAAGGAAAGTGTAGGGTTCTGATTCAGGATGTGGTTAATAATTAAGAGTAAGATCTTAAGAACCAGACTCCTAGGTTCGAATCTCACGCCCTCCCACTGCTAGTTGTGTGACCTTGAGCAATTACCTAAACTCTCTGTGTCTCCACTCCAGACTGATACATCCATCTTCCCAGTCAATAATTCTATTTACATGACAGAATTAACATCCTCCAAACCAAACTATTTATTTCCACCCATCCACTCAAATTTGAAAGTTTTCCACTACTCAATAGAAAGAAATTTTCTTCTACCAAAAGAATTTTGGAAGTCCTCCATGACTCTTCTATTTCTCTTGTATCTCAAATCCAGTATGAAATACACCCCCCAATCTCTCTATGTTTTCCACCTTAGTGGCCATCATTGTTTACCTGGGCTATTACAATAACCCCCGCTACAATCTCCCCCTTCACACCCCAAACAGTCCCTCCTCCTTAGAACATCTGGGATATTCTTCTAATCCCAAGCCATGTCATGCCATCCTTCTACTCAAACAACTCAAATGACTTTCTAACTCAGAGTAAAAGCCCAAATCCTTAACATGACCTACAAGATCCTCCCTACTCCTTCTTAACCTCAGCTCTACACTCAACTACTCCCATGCTGACTTCCTTGCAATCCCTAGAGAAATCTAGGGAAGTTGTTCCATCTGCTTTAAACTTTAGATAGGTGTATACCTACCTCTCTCACTTCCTTCAAGACTCTGCTCAGATGTCACCTTATTAGAAAGGATTCCCCATCTCTCCTGTATAAAGCATTATCCTTCCTCTAACACTCTTCATTTCTTCTTGAATGTCCAGGTATCCCATATCATATGTATATGCTTGCTCATTAACTGTCTATGTCATCTTACCAAAATGGTAATCTCCATAAGAATAGGAACTCTACCTGGTTTGTTCACTGTTATCTCTTCAATGCCCAGAACAGTAGGTATTCAATAAATATCTGTTGAATAATTGAATAAACTAATATGAAACATTGGAACAATTAGAACAATATGAAATAATTGCAGTAACAATAGCACCCACCACATAGGATTGTATGGATTTTAAATAAAGAAGTAGATATAAAATTCTTAGAACAAAAGCTTAGTAAACTTTAACTATTAATGTTAATATCAATTAACTTGTATAGCTAGCAAAGAAGTTGATTTAGTGGCAAAAGCAAATCTTAGGGTAGTGGAAAAATCAAAGGTAATTGAATTACAGCACATTAACTCAAGATGGCTCCATCAAAAATGAATGAGGGGCCAGGGATTTAGCTCAGTGGTGCCAGTACCTGCCTGACAAGCACAAGGTCCTGAGTTCAATCCCTGGTACCAAAAAGAAAAAAAAAAAATGAATGAGGAAGACTGGGAATGTAGTTCAGTGGCGCTGCACCTGCCTGGCAAGTGCAAGGTCCTGAGTTTGATCCCTGGTACCGGGAAAAAAAAAAAAAACTTTAAAAAAATGAATGAGGCTATAGTAGGTGGGTTAAAGATACTAGAACTGAATCTAGGCAGAGAGAAAGGAGCTCTGTTAATATTGAGTTGATAATCAGAGCCCCAGCAAAACCAACCAGGGTTCAAGATGGAGTCCCAGTACCACTGAAATTAAAAAATATGATGGCACAAAAATTATTGTTATGTACCCCAGAAGGCACTTATTCTCAACTTTTCTTCCCAATTGTGCTAAGCAAGAGGACAGATCTGCCATACCTTTAGGGCATTGTGTGTGGAAAACAGCATGGAAAAAGAGGAGATAAGCAAAAGGAGAGGGAATGGGCAGGGACAGGGAGTGTCCCAACCAGAGAACTCAGGGAGAAGTAGAAGCTCCTGTCATCAACTAAGGGACATAAAAAGACCTTTAAACTACAATGTCAAAGCAATGGTGGTAAGCAGGCAAGAGTTGGAATCCACAAATTCTTACATGTGAGTGCATGGATCTGAATCTCCATCTTCATCTGTAGATTTTCTCTCTCTCTCTCACTCGCTCTCTCTCTCTCTCTCTCTCTCTCTCTCTCTCTCTCTCTCTCTGAGATCACATTTACAGAAGAACTTGCAACCTCCAATGAGGCAACAGCTGAAAGGAAAATATATTCTGATATTAAACTTTTCACAAAAGAAAATGTTTATAGGGACAAGCACTAGAGAAGAGGAAACAATATGAAGTAGTGGTAGCAGCCACTGTGTTTCTAGATGGGGATTACACACTCAATGTACTGAACCCCTAGGAGTAGGGAGGAGCCTCACCTTTGTTGCAGTGAGGACACTGCTGCATGAGATTTAGGAGCCCTAACTTTACAGCTGCCAGTCCTGGTTTGAATCGATTCTACCACTTGCATATACTTTGACTCTACTGAAGCAATGTAAACTCTTTAAAAATTAGCCTGGTAGCACCTATCTCATTTGGTTTTTGGAATGATTCAGTGGAAGGAAGTATTAAAAGTGACTTTTACTGCTCCTTGCACACTATGAGTGCTCAAGCAGACCACACTGGAATTTATGGGGATCTTTTCCCAGGGGAGTATTAAATGTAGCACTTTACCCAAGAGGAAGTAATTTTCATGGTACCTACAAAACAGACAATTTACCCAAAACAGGAAGCTCTATCTTAAGAAAATAGGTCGCCTGGAGAGACAGACATTCAGAAGCCAGTCACGGTTCCAAAGTAACTTGTCTTACTCCTGCAAATTCATTTCTATAAAGCTTTCTCTTCTTGATATTTAAACTAAACATTACTTTTACATCCTTGCTAACTGAAAAACACATTCACTTTTCATTTTAAAAATTCCTTGTACTTTTTCCATTCTTGAGAATGGAAGGTAACCATAGTTTCAATGGAGAGTAAAGTGTATCCCTTAATTTTAAGTTAGAAACAAACAGAAATGTATCATATTTTATAATGATAAGAGAGTTTTGTGATTTACTTTTTCCCTTCTTCTGAAAATATGCAAAATCTCTTCTTACCTTTGAATTTTTAATTTGCTTTCTTTACATGCTAAGCAGGGATTTCCTTGAGTTTCTGTTCTCCTGATATGTGTGTAAAATTTAGAAGTGATTAGAAAATCTTTTTTACTATGAAAAGCAATCAGAACTAATACACATAAGGACTAATTACTGTGAAGATGGATGATGTGTTTTGGTATCTAATCATATTTTATTTGTTAAGGCTGATGCATTCTAAGTGGCTCCATCTTGCCTTCATTTAAATAGAAAATGAAAGAATAATCACTAAATGGAAATACCCAGTGAAGATTCATCCCAGAAATCTTGTAGCCATTCAAATCCAGAGTTATCCCCTTTTAGCCTACGTGCCAGAAGTATGGTAGAGGATTCATATAAATATTAAGTAAGCTCATTTATCTCCTTTTCTCCTTTTACACATCAGTGTGAGGTTCATTTGCATAAATGGCTGATAGATGTTGGAAAATGAATGATCTAAAGCATTTTATATAAATAAAGCTTAACACCTTCCAAAGCAGTTTTAA